CCATTATACCCAGATTATGGCAGAGGAATCAATCCCAGGGATTCAAGTATGCTAAGCAAGCATGCTGCCCCTTAGGTGCTTCTCCAACCTGACAATTATTATTGTCTTAATACCATTTCCCTGTCTTTTATTATGCCCTCATTTTAAAAAAAACAATAGCAAAAAAAATGGAGTCAGTCTGGTGACTCAAGCCTTTAATCCCAGCACTCAGAAGGCAGAGTCAGGAGGATCTCTGTGAGTTCGAGGTCAGCCTGGCCGACAGAGCGAGTTCTAGGACATCCAGAACCACATGGAAAGACCCTGTTTCAAAAAACAAACAAACAACAAAACCAAATAAGCAAATGGTGCAGGAGAGGTGGCTCAGTCCTCAGAGCACTGCCTGTCCCTATAGGAGGACTAGAGTCCAAATCCCAGTTCCCAACTAGCAATTCACAGCCATCTATGTAATCCCAGCTCCTGGACACCCTCTTCTGACCTTTGTTGGCAGTTGTACTTACACAGATATACACGTACACATAAATAAATAATAAAACTTAAAAGGACCTAAAACTCACCAGAGAGAGAGAGAGAGAGAGAGAGAAACGAGAGAGAAATTGACTTTTTAAAAGTATAGCTAAAAATAAAAACTGAGAAAAGTACATTTTACTGCGATGATGCTAAGCTACAAAAATAAAAAAAGAGGAGACAGACAGACTGCTGAAGGTTAATATTAACTTGGGTGGGGCATTACAGCGCAAATCTGTAGGCAGAAATTGTGATGGGTCTGGGCTCCTCTCATCCTTTTTCAGCTACATCTTAAGAAAACATGTCAAATTTACGCGTGAGCCCCTTTCAAACTGACAACAGTGTTACATCTAAGGGAGGTTATATAATTAAAGAATTTCTGGCCTGGTTCAAGAGAAAGAATAAGCTCGCTTTATGAGCTGACCAGTTCCACGGCGAAACCCTAACGACCGACTGCCATTAACTCCACGGCATAACAACCCTGGCCGCAGTCCGGCTCACCGTTCAGGAGAAAGAGCTAAGCCACCTTCCAACCAGACATACCATTCAGCAGGCAGCTGGGACTCGGGGCTCAGGTTTCCCCCAGTGCCCCAAGAGGAAGCAGCAGCAATGCCCATTGTATTGTAGGATTATTGCGGTGCAGTTGGCACAACAGGCTTGCAGTGCCAAGTTGGTAAAGATTTAGAAAGCCCAGTAGGGTATAAAATCTTTATCAACTTTCCCCATATTACCCTTTATCTTGATGTTTCATTTGCATTCCTTGTCTCGTAAGTAAAATATGAGCTTCTGGTCGCTTGTTCCTGACCCAATCTAGAAGTCATTTTCTCAGCTATCACTTTCTCTGATATCATAGGAGAGCAAAATAAAGACAACAAGACCAACAAAACCCTACGCACTTGGGAAGCTTATCAGTCAGCAGTTAAAAAAAAAACCACAAAAAACAAACAAACAAACAAAACCTGACAGGATCCTGGAGTGTCTGGGTGGGACTGATCCCCATGAACAGAACTCAGACTACTTCTGGAGACACCTCCGATGATGTCTACTGCGAAGCCATTTTCACTAGCCTGGCTATCAGCTGGCCTTAATGCAGAGAGAGCAACAAAACCTTGGCCAGATGTTTGCGACATTTCTCCCCCATCTGTCATTAGAGCGGCATCCCCTAAAATGAGGAAGGGTCGTCTTTTGCTTTAATGTTGTAATTAAGTAAAACAGATTCTCTGTTTCTAAAAACTAGGGTCTCCAGAGAATAACAGGAAAGAACAGATACATAAACTCTAGCTACCCGTGTAAGCGCACCACACTTCTTGGGACGGTCCACTGTTCCTTCATGCAAGAATGGACTTCTACACAAATATAAACTCGACCTTAGACCGGGTAGTTCAAAATTTCATTCCCATGACCGCACGCAATTCCCGAGCAGAGGAACTAACTAACTTTATAATTACTAGGGCGCTTCGTCAATAACTATAGTAATTACTGCTAAACTCGACAAGTCCACTCTGTGTGTGAACTAATCTCCCCAGGCTTGCGTTCCCCTGATCTCATTTCACGTATGCTTTCCACACCAGGGGCCCTCAACCGCCTCTGCACCTGTGAGGACCGTGCGCCTGAGATGCCCTTATTGACTGCTCTACGTTCCGACGAAGCCAGGGTTTGATTTAAACTTAGGCAAAACAGTTGGTGCTTTGCCAGCATTCTCAGAGCCCTACACAGGTATTCCTTATCCCTTTGGCAGGATAAACGACACCCTTGCAAGGAAGATTATGTCAGGAAAAGGACACTTGAAATCGGTTGTGTGACAGACCTGGGGGGTTTGTCAAAGGATCTCATTACAGGTCCCTGGAGCTTCCAAAATGAGGATCAAGTTCAACTGTTCTTTCTATAAGCAGTTTGAGTGCAGGAAACTTTCTCGGCTTCTTCTTATTTTTCTTTTTCTTTTTTAACTTGAGTTTCCGATAAGTAAACATGACACAACCCAAATTGCTGGCTATGTCATCAATTCATCTGCAGTCTTTAAAATCTTCAAACGGGCTAGGGATGGGAAAGGTCGGGAAGCCGACGGAGCGCTTTCGGACTGAGGGACAGTCACAGACAGTGACAGCCGCATGTGATGCTGAGCTGCATTCCTCTGCTCGGCCTTGGGACACGACTGGGGCCACTGGGAAGCTTTACTGAGGCCTGAGTATGAGTGAAGCGATGTGGTGGCTCGGTAGGCCTTGTTCTCAGGAAAATAAGGTATTCAGAGAGCAGTTTTAGAAGGAAAATGTTTTCTGGATCTCCTTGTGATTTTGCAGCAAGCTGAGACTGTTCTGGAGTAAAAATTACTAATGCCCACTCAGGAAACACCACTGAGAACAAACAGGCAAATCTCTCTCTCTCTCTCTCTCTCTCTCTCTCTCTTTCGAGACAGGGTTTTTCTGTGTAACAGCCCTAGCTAGCTGGAACTAGCTCTGGAACTAGCTCTTTGTAGACCTGGCTAGCCTTTGCCTCCCGAGTGCTGGGATGAAAGGCATGAGCCACCATCGCCTACTTCATAAAGGTTGAAGAGAGGACACGCCCCCCCCCCCTTTTGGACAAGGAACCATATTGCATAACGCCATCTGATTATGTATGCACCAATAGATTCAGCCTTTGATGAAGTCAAAGTCACAACTGAACACTGCTATGGGACAAAGCCTTTAACATACATGGCATTTTTTTTAAGAACATTTTGTATCCAAAAAGAGACTGATGGATAGATTTGTAGGTTAGTTCTGAAGTTATATGTAGAAAAAAAATACTAGTAGCTTCCAGAAAGGCAGTCAGGTGGTTGACAACTTCTAATCACACAGTTATGCCTTTTGAATTTTGTGTCACATGATCATACACCTTCAAAAAATTAAAAGAGTAAGATTCAACAGCTCATAGAAAAGAGCGGAACACAAAGGATCTCAACCACGCCATTTCTTTCTATGTTCTACTATTTTCTAAATTTAACTGACTCAGAAAGCATTTACTTAAAAAACTGGTATGACCACGTTCAAAGGCTGTAGGAAGTCACAGCTAAAAATAAGAAAGCGTTTGATTCTTCATTTTCTATGACCATTGTCGGTATTACATTAGAAATTTAAACCAGAAATAAACTATCCTAACCACTCACAAAGGACGCTGTCAAGCTGCTGTGGGATTCCCCTCTGTACGCTGTGAATACCACTGGTTAATAAAGAAACTGTCTTGAGCCCTTGCTAGAGTAGAGTAGAGCTAGGTGGTGGTGGGGGGGAGTACTAAATTGAATGCTGGGAGAAAGGAGGAGGAGTCAGAGAGAAGCCATGGAGCCATTGCCAGAGACAGACATGTTGAAACCTTGCCAGTAGGCCACAAGCCTCGTGGTAAAATATAAAATAATGGAGATGGGTTAACTCTAGATGTAAGAGCTAGTTAGCAATACGCTTAAGTAATTGGCCAAGTCATGACTTAATTAATACAGTTTCTGTGTGGTTATTTCGGGAGTCTGGGCAGCCAGGAAATCAATAAGCGGCCTTCCCTACAACATCAAGCCAAACTCCTATTGGCATTTGTAGTCTTCATTTCTAAAGACCCATCTCCTTGAGTGGTTCAGCGCTGTAGGCAATGCTGAGATGCAGCCTTTCTCTCGGTCCTATTAAAATAGAACAACCACCGAAGCTAAGACTGTTCCCATCTCCCTCCTTCCTCCCCACACCACTCCTCTAGATGTTGGTGCTGTGAATGCTAATCCTTTAGGAGCTACGGGACTGCAAACAGGGACTGAAGCTCAGAGAGATGTCAACTATGTGGACGGGGCATTTCCTGTTCCCGCTGCCACTTCCGATAGGGAGGGCCACAGAGAAGACTTAGCTTCACTCTCATGCTAAGCAAACAGCCTGGCAAAATACATTTGAAGCCAAGGTCACCAGTGAGTGACCAACCTTTAATCCCAATTACTAATAAAACAAACAGACAGACAGAGATTGAAGAAACGAAGAGCAGGCCTGGGAAGAGCTCAGAGTTAAACGAAGACAGATGCATCAGGGCAGGGAACTCTTGAGGGCCAGGCCAGCTCAAAGCTGGAAGTCCATGCTAGCATGTATGCACACACTGGAAATAACCAGTCTGCAGCCGACAGAGCCTTTTTCTATTGGAAGAAATCAGCCCTATGTCTACAGACACTGCCTGATATTATGTTAGCATGCCTTTGCTCTTAAAGTGTCCAGAGCAAGGAGATGGGCAAGAACTGAACCCAGGCCTAGACTTCCAATTACAATGGTGTATTTTCTCCACCACCAGTAAGTTAACCCTTCATGATGTGGAGGTCGCCACCAAAAGAGGACCAGGTTGAATTTCAGTTTGGCTAAACAAAGAAGTCCAAAGGTATCCTAGATTTTGCCCAATCACACACAGTTGAGACAAGCAGTGTGTTTCTTTTTTTTTTTTTTTTTTTTTAAAGATTTATTTATTTATGATGTATACAACATAATGTATACTCCATGTATGCCTGCATGCCAGAAGAGGGCACCAGATCTCATTCCAGGTGGTTGTGAGCCACCATGTGGTTGCTGGGAATTGAACTCAGGACCTTTGGAAGAGCAGCCAGTGCTTTTAACCTCTGAGCCATCTCTCAGCCCCCAAGCAGTGTGTTTCGTATCAGGACAGGACACTGCTTTCCATAGAGCCGCGATGATTTATTACGGACAGTGACAGCAATTTGGGGGGGGGGGGAGTGGAACCCCATCACTCTGTGAGTCTCTGTGTCAGTAACTTCAGCCTTAGGGAAGAGGGAGAAGCTCGTATCTGTAGTTCCTAACGACTTCCAAATAATCGTCCCACTCTGTCAAACGTCTCCATAACACTGAAGAACGGCCAACAGGTATGCCTCTAATCTTTCCATCAGTTAAGCACAGAAAGGCGTGCGGTCCTCCAAAATGCCTTTTAAAGTCGTATGTTAATGAAATAAATTTAGAAAATCAAGACTAGGGGCTGGAGATGTAGCTCACTTGGGAGATGACTTTGCCTACCAAGCATAAAAGGTTCATAGACCAGCACCTATAGTCCTTCAGTGGTCTGAGAAGGGAGGCCGAGGTTCCAGGTCATCCTGGCAATTAAGGGTGAGATTAGCAGCCTCAAGAGGTCGAAGTTTCTAGAGACAAGAGGAAGGGGGAAAGGGAGGGGAGGGGATGAGAGAGGAGGGCAGACAGGAACTCTGAAAACACATAATGCCCTCGGATGCAAACTGCTTGCCAGCAGCCCTGGGAAGGCAAAGGCAGGAGGATCACTGGGGATACACAGCAAGTTCAAGACCAGCCTAGGTCGTAAGACCCTGTTCTTAAAGAAAGACAAACTGGGGTGCGGTGGCTCATGCTTATAATCCCAGCTGTAGGGAGGCAGAGACAGGCGGATCCCTAAGGCTGACTCACCAGCCAGTCTCGTCTACTTGGCAAGCACCAGGACATTGAAAGACTCTGTCTCAAAAAGAAGGAAAATGACATCTGGGGTGAGCTATACTTTCTGCCCTCTGCAAGTACACACAGGTATGGAGAGAGAAATAGGAGGAGGGAGAGAGAGAGAGAGAGAGAGAGAGAGAGAGAGAGAGAGAGAGCAAAGAAAGGGAGGAGGAGGAAAAGGTGGGCAAAGAGGGAGAGTGGAAGGGTAGGCAGGCAGACTTACAACGTCACAAAAATGAACAAGACCAAGAAGAATTACACCAATAATATTTCAAAACACACTTGACATAACTGATTCAAGAGATGAGAGACAGACACAACAGGGCAGTGGATTCTGGGTCCCGAGGCGCATCCAAAAGCTATTTTACGGGGTGACTGTTTCATCATCAAAGTAAACAACTAAAGAGAAACTGAATTAGGTTTTATTTCCTAATGTATTTTTTTTTTTTGTCCACAAAGGCTTTTTATTTTTGTTTTACATCTCTAGAAAAAGAATCCCAGGATTTCCCCTCCTGTGTGCTTTCGTCTTGCCTCTTCATGGTCCATGATGCTAGCTGAGGTGGTCAGTACAATAAAGCTAAATTGACGGGACGGGAGCAGATTGTTCTGTCATTTTTCTAGGTCTTTGAGTTGCACATCAAATCTAGGGCTTATCACTCCACACTTGTTCAACCTGCCTGTGAGGTTCACAGCGATCTTCCCAGCTCTGTGGTCATCAGTGATTTCAAATTCACCAATGTAACCGTGCTTCATCATCATGGTTAGGAACCGAACGATGACTTTGGAGCAGGGCCTGATGAGGACCTGGCGTTTGCCTCTCTTCTCTGCATTGTTGACGCTCTTGAGAGCATCAGCCAGGACATTCATGCGCACCATGGTGGTGGCACGGGAAGATGGCAGAAAGAAAGCTCCTAACGTATTTTAAACTGTACAGAAACGCAAGTGTTTCTGAGAACTCTTAACATGACACTACCACAGTACTGTGTTCTGCATAACACTGTATCATGTCTGAACAGCTGACTGGGGAAGCCAGGTCACATTTTTTCTTCAGTGCAGTTAGAATCCAAAAGTCAGCCTAGCGGCAAACAACGATCAAGTCAGTAAGTCTGGATAGAAGAGAGATGGGTGGTTAAACCCGCAGGAAATGCTGGAGTCAGACGGATGTTACCAAGATGGGACTGGAAAGATTATTAAGAGCGGTTTAAATACAGTTGTTCAAATAGTCAGCGGCTTCCTGGTTATCTTAAACGCTCACCTGGGACAGGAAGGAAGTGCCTGGGTCTAAGAGGCTCGCAGCTTCGTTCTGAATGGTGTTCTGCTGTGTGATGGCGTCTTCTCGTTTCCGCTCTTTCTGGCCGGCTTCGTCGTCTTCGTACTCATCTAAGCACTGAGAGAGAGAGAACAGTCTCAATTTCGTGCCCCACATAAGTAGCAGAATGCCTTACAGTATTTAAAAGCACACTGTCTGGCATTAAAAAAAAAATCTGTATGAAGCTGAATGGTGATGGCGCAGACCTTGAGTCCTAGCACTCGGAAGGCAGAGGCAGGCAGATTCTGAGTTTGAGGCCAGCCTGGTCTACAGAGTGAGTTCCAGGATAGCCAGGACTACACACAGAAATCCTTTCTCGAAAAACAAAAACCAAATAAGCAATCAAAACAAAAACAAAAGAAAATCTGTACGTAGTCATAAATTACACTCATACAAAAAAGAGATTCCTTTTTAGCAATATATATATATATATATATATATATATACTCCATTCCTATAAATTATACTGTCTCCTAAATTCTAACACATTTATAGTCTCACCCAGGACAACATAAAGCTCTAAATACCAGTGACAAGTTTCTCAAAGAGATGGCTCGTCCATTGTCTACCATTCATTCAACATGGCACTCTGGAGAGGGCAACACTATAAGCATGGAATTTATAGTTCAGTAAGGAAGGCGTGTGTGTGTGTGTGTGTGTGTGTGTGTGTGTGTGTGTGTGTGTATGTGTTAGCGATAAGGTCATTTTCTACCTTCACACTGCCTATAGGGACATAAAGAAAGGGTATTTTCACGTGGGAGCCAAGGCTCTGGAACAACTAGCAACTTCAAGGGTGGTATAATTTGGAAGTACACATCTGGACAAAGGGGAATTCAGATGGTGAGAACAGCGCACTGAAGATGCTTACTAGAGGATTACTAAGAGTTGAGTCAACAGCAGCGATTATCTGTCTCCAAACCTGCCACAAGGAAACCAAACCGAGACAAATCCCTATCCATTATGCTATTACAACACTGGCTACGAGCGCTCAGAGCACACATCAAACCCGAACGCTAACCCCCTTCACTTCTCTCTGAGATCCAAAAACTCATGTCTATAGGCATTGCCCACAAAGGCATTAGGACACTGACCGAAACCCAGGATGGCAGGGAAACACCAGGATCTACCTACAGGATTAGAACAGGTCACTGTGTTAACTAAGAAAAGCCACGAGGAGACGGGGAGAGAGAACGTGGTGAAGGGGAAGGAGCTGCTAGCTTCTCAAGGGCAATTCAAAGACAAAGTGGACCAGGGAGACTTGGAAAGACATCTGTCTGGATGGAGAGGAGTCTGGCAACAGACCAGAGAGCCAATGAGATGGCAGAGAGCATCTAGATCCTTCTGGAGAGTTGCGGAGTGTTAATACAGGTAGGACTGAGCTGCGGCTCAGCAGACCAGCCGCTGAGGACTGGGGTGAGGAAAAGTATGATCCTGTGCTGTGAGTCTGCTGCCCTCAACTCCAAGCCAGGAGACCAGTGGCTTCTGCTAGGACCCACAGGTTAGCCTGCAAGCTCTTGCGGCAAGAACTGGAAAGGTGTATTCTCTCATCTCCAAGAAACACAATAAATGACCTGAGAAGCTCAGAAAGCTGTTACAGGGCTTGGAACATCAATGCATGGCCAAAACTGGTGTGTGTGTGTGTGTGTGTGTGTGTGTGTGTGTGTGCGAGCGCGAAGACTTTCTTAAACCAACAGAGACTATCGGAGCTAATGACAAAATACCAACAACATTCAAGAGTAAAATCAGACTCAAGACAGGGACATCCTCTACCATGTTCTGGAAGAGCGCTGGGCGACAAAACAGCTCAGATGACTACAGGACTCACTCAAGGGTCAGGAAGGAAGCAACTATCACCATTTTATATGATTTATTTACGTATTATTAAAGTTTCTGAAGACTTCTTTTTGATAAACACGAGGAATAAATACCTGCCCAACACAACAGCAATGCACACTGAAGCAATACCAACACTTCAGTGCACAGAGGAGGCTAACAAGCAAGAGTAAAAGATTCAGGCTGGTGAGATAGCTCAGCTGTTCTTTCAGAGGACCCAGGCTCGATTCCCAGCACCCACATGGCAGCTCACAACTGTCTGTAGGTGCAGTTCCCGGGGACCTGGCATCCTCACACAGACATGTATGTAGGCAAAACACCAATGCACATAAAATAAGAATAAATAAAGTATTTAAAAGAGACAGTAAAAGATTCGGGGAGAGGGCCAGGCATGGTGGGGCATGCCTTTATCCCGGCACTCAGGACCCACATTTGGGAGGCAGAGGCAGGTGGATCTCTGCGAGTTCGAGGCCAGCCCAGTCTGCAGAGCGAGTTCCAGGAATGAGTAATCCCATTTGTGGTCTTCCGCTCTGCTAACAGCGACAGCAAAAGTTCCCAAGATTATTATCGGGAGCTCAAAGTCAGAATTCTAAATCACAGGTGAGTAGAGGAAAGAAGCCAAAGCTGAGAGGCAGGTGGCCATGGCCTCTCTGAACACTGGATGTCCATTTGTTCATGCTTATTTTCTGAGACTCGGCACCTTTCAATTCCCCCTTCCTCCACTGCCCCCCCTAATAACTGCAGACCGCCCCCACCGCTAGCAAATGAAAAACTAAAGTGAAGCATCCAGTATGTGCTTGACAATGGATCACCCAGATGAGTCACACCGCAAAGACAAAGCTAACCCCATCAGAACTCCGTGCATCTTCCCACAGAGCATCCTTTTCCCTGCTGCCTGGCACCTAATCCTTCACACTTGGCATCTCCGTAGGAGACTGCACCCCACCTTTCAGGCAGCTTTCAGAAGGGATTGATTATGTGATTCTTTACAAACTCTTGAGAACCGGTTGGTAACCAGTCCAGATCTATTGTCTACAGATATTCTAAAAATCTTTAAGCTGTTCTATTTGAGACAAAGGATCTGAAAAACAGAAATCTTATTTGGGGCTGGGAGGATGTTCGGTGGGCAAGGGTGCATGTTATATAAGTTCGGGGGCTTGAGTTCAAGTCTCCAGCACCCATGTACAAAGTCAGTTACAGTCATATGAGCACCGGTAACTCCAGCATTGTGAGGTGTTGGAGACATAAGGGGTGCTGGGGCTTGCTGGCTGCCAGTCTAGCCTTGGGGTCAGCGAGGAATACTGTCTCAAGGGAATACGGTGGAGAAGGGCAAAGGCGACCCATGTGAGGTCCTCTTCTGGGCCACTGTGCACACACACACACCTCTGTGTACCAAGTGCCAGGCACTTGGTACATGAAAACAAACAAAACTTCACTCGTCTCCATTTTTAAACCAGCCTTCTCTACCACTGACATCTCACGCTTCTGTGACAAATACTTCAGCCCCGCTCACTGTCCTGTCACCAGATCTCAGGGCTAAAGTCCTGAAAGCAATATTCTATCGTAAGAACACTCTATTCGCGTGTTTGAACAAAAATAACAGCCTTGAGTTGGGTAGCTTTTAAACAACAAGGTGACACCTCCCCTAATAACTCAGTCAATCAACCCACATTATAAAAACCCTTGAACAACAGAGATGAGAAAGAAAACACTTCCTGAGCTTCCACTGCAGTTCACGTGGTGCAAACCTTCCCACAGCGTCCTCTCTAAGCAGGTGAGGGGAGCCCCGCTTGGGAATGTGCTTACATGCTCTCCTCATGTGCAGCACAGAGCCTGGCCAGTGCACAGCACAGACCGTGACTACAGACAATCTGCCCACTCCTGTCTGTCTGTGTAGCTAAATAGCCCCTCCTCTCAATATTTGGAGGTATCTGCAAGTCCCACAGCTCTTTAAATATCCCTGCTAAGTGAGGTCCATTGAGAGCATTATTTCCCTAAAGTGTTCAGAGAAAGGTAAAATAGTAGTTGTGGTTGCGTGGTCATCATCATGGTTGTCACTTCGCAGGGTGAAGTTCTGTCACAGTTTTATTGGCTTTAGGAATCGCTTTATACATCTTGATTTTCTTACCCAGTATCCTCTCGACTATTTATTCACATTCTGGGCATCTAAGAGGCTCTTCGTATGATGTGAAGACGTCCCTCCCTGTGTGTATCACGTCTGGTAAGGGTCTCTGCCCAGCTTACCTTTGCCTTGTTAACTGTCAGACATTTTCTCCTGTGGTTTTATGCCACGGTTTCCAACTTAAAGATCTAATCAACCACATGGTTCCTAATGTCTGCTATCACATTCGTTAAATTAAATCATTATATAACGATCTTGGAATATATGGGTTTCCCCACCCCCCAATAATAACTGTTTTGTCATGAACAATCCACAGCTGTGGTACTGGTGGGAGGTTGTGGGAGCAATGGTGCCCATAAAAGCCCAGCACGCCTCAAGGCCACCCAAAGGATCTCCGTTCATCTCTTTACCTTCAACTCAAAATGGTACCGCCAAGTGGGGTGCAGTGGCACACACTTTTAATCCCAGCACCTGGGAGCCAGAGGCAGGTGGATCTCTGTAAGTGCGAGGCCCTCCTGGTCTACACAGTGAGTTCTAGGACAGTCAGAGCTACATAGTAAGACCCTGTCTCGAAGGGAAAAAAAAATCCATCTTTATACACGAGTATATTTTTCACTTTCCGTTCGGTCTCACTGGTCTCTCTACAGTAATGTACAGGGGACACTGTTTTCACCATTGTAGGTTAACAGCATCTACGAGCATCTGCCAGTTCCATTCTTTATGATTCACTGCTAAATCTTCCTTCCTCATCGCTAGCCAACTTATTTTTCCCATTTGAATTCCTTGGTACCTTTCAGTTAGCGTATAAACTACTCAGAGAAAATCCAGGGCAATACCCATTAGGGTGTAACCTTGTAAAATGGGGACCGTCAATAGCTACACAAGAGGGTTGTGGTTATACAGGGTAGCAGTGAATTGAAAGTAAGGAGATCAAAGATCAATCGCATGGGTTATGGATAGACTTAGAGCAAACACAGATGCTCACTGGATGGAGGAGAGAAACACGGAGAAACACAGTAACGAGAGAGACAACCCCTACTCTCACTAGCATTAAGAGTAAAGTTCAACAACGGGAAACTTAGGGCCTTGCAATACTGGTGGAACACAAGGTAAGGAAGCAGAG